CTCTGTGCTAGGGAGTCACTCATCAGCCAGCAGGCCAGCCTGGACTTGTTCTGAGGGCAGTGGCAGGGGCTCCTCAGGGGGGGACTTGGAACTGGAATACTGGCACTTCCTATGCATCCTTTTTTTTTTTTTTTGCATCCTTTTTTTTTTAAAGGTTTACTTTTGAGAGAGAGAGACATCATGAGTGGGAGAGGGGCAGAGAGAGGGAGACACACAATCCGAAGCAGGCTCCAGACTCTTAGCTCTCAGCGCAGAGCCTGACACGGGGCTCAACTCATGAGGCATGAGATCATGACCTGAGCCAAAGTCCGATGCGCAGCCGACTGAGCCACCCAGGCGCCCCCCCCATGCATCCTGTTGGCAAGACACGATAGGAGGTCAGCCCAGGGGCAGGTAAATAGACCCCATCTCTCAATGGGAGAAGCTGCAAAGTCACATTACAGAGCGGCAGGTGCAGAGAGGGGAAGAATTAGTACCATTTTAATAAATCAGGTGGTCACAGGTCTGGGGAACTTACCTGATTTCTCTGAGTAACTGTTACCTTTCCTGTTACCCACAGGTGGTTGTAAGGCCCAAAAAGAGAATATAAACGAACATCATTTTAAACTCCAATTCATTGCAGCAGTTCAAGTGAAGTTAACTAAGGAATGATGTAGGGGATAAAAACCAAAGAATCTTAAACATTTCTGTGTAGACACTGCTGATCTAAGCTGGTGCTGGGAGATTGCTATTTCAGGAACACTGGGGCACCCAGGTGGCTCAGTCAGTTAAGCATCTGACTTTGGCTCAGATCACGATCTCATGGTCTGTGGGTTCAAGCCCTGAGTCTGGCTCTGCACTGACAGTTGCAGAGCCTGTTTGGGATTCTCTGTCTCTCCCTCTCTCTCTAGCCCTCCCTGACTTGCACTTTCTCTCTCTTTCAAAATAAAGAAATAAACTTTAAAATCAGAAACAGCAAGTAATTCTGGTGTTCAGAACTAGCCTCAGAACAGCCCAGGCCCAGTCACCTCAAACCAAGGCCAAGGACAGAGGCCAGATTCACAGTGGCTACCACCCAGCTTCAAGTCACAGCAGACTTCAGGATCATCAATCACATTGTTTCTCTCAGGAAATAAACTGGTCTTGTCCTTGTATTTAGAAAAAAAGTATTCTCTTTATACCAGATTCTATTATGACTTGGATGGGTTTTTGAGATAGCATCCTCTTAGGAGTTAAAAACTTTTCACCTCTCCCATCCTCTCATTGTGGTGCATATTTTAATAACACCCCCAGCAGTGGTGGCTGGAAATAGGCACAAATGTTTTACAGGTAACAGTCTTCCTCACCCTTAAAGCCAAGGAGACGTTGGTGCTGAACATCCTCTCACCTAAATGCCTTCCCATTGCTGGCCAGTAGGCGCTGTCACTAAGAAAGCCACTTGCACTCCCGCAGAGAAGCGCAGAAGACATATTTCGTCTTTGTGTCTTCATATTCTGAGTATTCTCCATCCAGAACACTCTCTTTCCAGATCCCGTGGCTCGCTGTCAGTACCTGGGCTGCAGTGTGGGTTTTTTTGCTGCCTCCTGGTGCATGCTGAGAAGAGGTTTCCAAGAAAACCAGGACACAGACCTTTCAGATCTCATACTGACAGGCAAGCAGATGTCAAGCAGCCTTTTGCAGGCAGTGCTCCGCTAAATGCCACTCGAAGCATCAAGCAACCTTGAACTGGATACCTCAAATTATATCGCTAATTAAACCATGAGGATCTTGTTTTGTTTTCACCTCTGACTGTGCTTGAGAGATCCAAGCAAATTCGACCCCTGGCAGCTTGGATTTTGCAAGACTGTGTAGCTTGGTTGTAAGTGAGGCCGGAGGCACTGCAGTGTGAGGGACGGAGCCAAGGGACTCCAGCCCGCAGGAATGAGCCTCAGGGCAGCCATGCTTCCCCGAGGTGGGAAGGGGCCCAGAACAGGGGCTGTCATTTCTTGACACTGTGACACAGAGGCCTTCGAGAGCACCAGGTGGCCCCGCTCACCCCCCAGCCAGGCTGCAGCTTGAGATCTGTGATGGAGTTTCCCCAAAGCCGTCTTCATCTTAAAACCTGCTTAAAGGCTAAAGGCAAACAAATCCTTCTTGAAACCTGAGTCCATTTTAAGATGTCTTTACTAAAATCCCCTCTGAACCATTAGCTGTTATGTCATATAATTTCCTTTTCCTGAGAGTAACATTCTTGGTGATTACTGCTATAAGGAATTACAAGTCTCACCCTGTAAGAAGCTCTGTTCAGTTTCCCACGGTGATAATGTGGTACTAAGGCGATTTTCTGAATTTCTACCTGAGGTGTTTTTTCGTTTCATTCTGACTACTAAATCTTTCCTTTTTTTTTTTTTTTTTTTTTTTTTTTTTTTTTTTTTTTTTTTTTTTTTTTTTTTTTTTTTTTTTTTTTTTTTTTTTTTTTTTTTTTTCCTTTGACTTTCCTGAGCTAGAAATGCTGTTTGGTTTGGTTTATTTAGGTCTAAGCTGATCCTTAGCACAAAGGCCATTTGGGGGCAGGACAATAGAATTTACAGTCAGGCCTTCTTCAGAATGAAAATATATATCTCTGGATATTTTAAACCTTATTTGGTAATGGTATCTTGGGTTGCTTTATATTTTAATAATTTGGGTATCCAGTGACCAGACATTTCTTTTCAAGACTTTAGCTATTCAGTAAATAGAAAATGGTACATAATCCTAGATTCAAATTGGGTTTAATTTAAAATGTCTCTTTTTTTTATTTTAAAATATGCTTTTAATGTGGTTTTCTTTCATTTGCAGTTTTACTTCCCACTATTTTCCAATCCGTATATCTTGAGTTTTATGTTAAAAATGGGTTGATTGAAAAGGCGGTTGACAAATTACAGATAATTAATTTTAAAACTTAATTTGTATGGGATCAAAGGGTAATGTGAACATACTAGATTTCTCCGGGGGAAAAAATTCCAATGGAAGAAAATTAAAAGGACATAAATTCCAGCTCAGTAAAAGCCCAAGGTGCCTAACAGTTAAAAACAGCTTGAGGACACTCCCTCAGAGCTATTCAAGGTCAGGCAAGGTATTCAAGTAAGTGACTTTAGAGGCCCCTTTACAAAGTCACATCACCTTTAAAATTCTGTATTCCTTTGTGGGGCTTTCAGAAAGTAGAAAAAGGAGGATAATGAATATGTACAGAGGACCTCCCCTGTGCCTTGCTCTGAACTTATTTTTATTCTTCTTACAAATCACTGAATTATTTCACCCCGTTTTCCTGATGAGGAAACTCAGGTTCACAGAAGTTGAGTTATTGGCCCAGGGAAAGAAGTGAGGATTCAGAACCTAAGTCTGACTGATTCCAAGCACCGTGCGCTGATCACAGCAGAACCTATGCCTTCTGCCTCTGGCGAGGGCCTGGCTCCTTACCTGCAGAGAAAGGCAGGCAGGGAGCTGAGCCCAGCCTGCTGAGGGGAAGGATGCCTTTTCTTCCTGGACCTGCAGTAATTACAGAAGGTACCAGTAGGTGGCAGTGCATACATATTAACAATGATGGTGTCTGTGTCAGATCAGTAGATTTTCTCTTTCTGGCTTCTGTGCCGTTTTCAAAGAATCACTTTATATGAGTCATCTGAGCAATTTATACAAAGCATCCCTCCCCAGTGGAATAAAAAAAAATACTAATGTCAACTACCAGATGAGTTGCTCTTTGCATTTCTCCCTGTGATAGTAATAATGCCAGAGCTGAAATTCAGTGCTGGCTTCCTAAAGCTGGCTTAGGCAGTCTGCTTATGATCCCTTGCTGCCTAGGAGCCTCCTTTGCCTTTTCTAAGCTTACACACAGACTGGGACTAACAGGGAATGCTTGAAAAATTACTTCTTTAGAAGCGCTTGGGTGGCTCAGTCGGTTAAGCATCCGACTTGGGTCAGGTCATGATTTCACGGTTCATGGGTTCAAGCCCCATGTCCGGCTCTGTGATGACAGCTCAGAGCCTGGAGCCTGCTTCAGATTCTGTCTCTCCCTCTCTCTCTGCCCCTGCCCCTCTCACACTCTATCTCTCTCAAAAATAAAACATTTAAAAAAACAGAAAAAGTACTTCTTTAAAGACTCTTTATAGCCAAACAGTATGGAAACATGTCCAGTTTCAAAAGAAGGTTAGGACAGTGAGTTGAATCCATTGCCCACCCTCACGTGTAGCAGACACACAGCCAGTGACCCTCTATGGCCACACCTCCAGCAACATCACTCATGGAGCTACAGGATTCTCCGTGAACATAATGAGCTCCTGAAAAGTCTCCGCTTCTGAGGCTCTGTGTGCACAAGGCAGTCTGCTGTTGCAAGGCTGTGACTTTCTGACTGGGTTTGGGGTTTCCTTAAGTTTCTCTAACGTGAACCTGTGGTATATGTTTCTTTAATGACATAAATGGGCTCCCTTGGTTGGATTTTGGCAATTTGCTTTAAGCATAGTTTTCCTCCAGACAATCCTAGTCTGTCTATCTAGGGGGAAAAAAGGGAGTCTTTCTGCAGAGAGCTGTGGCCCTGGCAAGCTGGCTCTAGTGAGCTTCTTTCAATTGTCCCCGTGGGACAAGATACTAGATGACACCAGGCAGCTTTATTTTGCTGAGGACCCCATTCATCTTTATCTACAGGAATGCAAACTCAGTGACTCGACACATTGATATTTTGCACAACTGTATTTGGCATTGTGCCTGGTGCTACTATATGTGGATTTAAATTATCTTTCACTTAACATAAAACTGGTATGAAAAAAAAATAACATTAGCAAAAGTTATCATTTTATCATTTATCAGGTTCTCAACTCACTAAGTTATCATCACTGTCCTTTAGTGAAAGTTATCATTTGTAAGTTGGGAGTAATGTTGGTCGCTCGCTTCTCCATGCGAGGAATGCGATGAAAACGCTTTCTGTTCACGAAACCAGACGGTTCTGGTGAGTGCCACCTGGTAACAAACAGCTGAGTGGAATTAGTGTCCTGTTTGCTTCTGCCCAGCCTACAGAGTGGGATGAACCTGCAGATATGCTTTGTCAACGACAGCAGCAGTGATAAGGACAGCGACGCTGATGACAGTAAGACCGAAACCAGCTTGGACACCCCCTTGTCTCCCATGGTGAGTCCGCCACCACTGGAACTGTGTGTGTGTGTGCTTCCCTGGTCCTTCAGCTTCTTTTTTTGTTGTTAGTCAGGAAAAAACATGGCAGAGGTTCAAAAAGAAATGTCTCTTGCCATTTTTTGACATAGCATGCTCCTCAAATTTGACAGTGATTGGAAAAGCACAGGTGTGATACAATAAAGAGACCTAAGCACTGTTAAAGTCAGCAGCCACTGTCATATAAACCAGGAGAGAAATCACATGTGCCCTAATCAATTATGCTAGGTAGCAGTCCTTCCCCATCGGGCTTAGAGGTATTAAGCACAGACCAGCAGTAAGACACATTTTCAAAGGCAGGGTGGGAATCCAGGTGAGGATGGGAAGGCCAGCACCCAAGAAAATAGCAAGCTAATGTGTGTGAAGTATTCCTTACTCATTCCTTGCACACATATTCTGAAAGATGGTTTAATGATCCTGGGAGCCTATTGCTGGAATTCCTTCCTGTCTGTGAAGTCTCTCACCTTTCTAACCAAAGTCCAGCCAACAGGAAACAGCAGTGGTTTGCGAGAGCAGTGCAACGTCAACTGCATTGGATAACTGACATCCCATCCACTCCAGAGAACAGCACACTGCCCTAGCTCTGGGTTGAATACTTGGCTGTGTCTGATCACTTCAGGAAAGTTTTGGCTGTGTCTGATCACTTCTAAAGTTTCTTTAGAGCCAAAGAAATGTCTCAAGTTTGTCATAAATAGATTCTCCCTATTGTCATGTTACTGTGCTAAAATCAGAGCCTATTCGTGGCACTGAAGAAATAAACTATCTTCTTTAACGTTACTTGAGATTGGTACAGACCAAATCAGGTGGCGAGGGGACCCTCGGCCACTCGAGAGGGCCCAGGGAACACTATAGCCCATCTCCAAAGATGATACCTGACACAGAAAGCTCAGGGCTGCTCTTTTTCCCTTCACAGAGCAAACAGAGTTCTTCCTATTCCGATAGAGACACTACTGAAGAGGAATCCGAATCCCTGGATGACATGGATTTCCTCACAAGGCAAAAGAAATTGCAAGCTGAAGCCAAAATGGCCCTTGCCATGGCCAAACCAATGGCCAAAATGCAAGTAGAAGTGGAAAAACAGAACAGGAAAAAGTCTCCCGTCGCTGATCTCGTAAGTAGCAAACACTGAAATGCCAGCAAGCAATTGGTGGCTGCAAATGGTTGACGCCGTCCCAGTTCTTTCCCAGAGTTATGCAAACTTGGGTTTCTACAAGGCAGTTTGTAAAAAGTACTGTCATTGAGAAATATTTAAGTTCGTTTCTTTTTCCCTCCTACTGTATCGCTGAAAGATAAGTAGCAACAGATTACACAAAAGCAAACTTTGTTCTTGATTCATATCTACTATATTTCTTAGAAGCAATATCAGCTGTCATGGGAATATTTTAATGCCATTTTAAAGGCACTCTCGTTTAGAACCTACTGGTTCTGTTGTGGCAGAACTCGCTATTATTCAGCTCTCATTCCCACCTTCCAGTGAAGACAGGATTGCATAGTGGGGAAGAGCCCTGGGCTTGGGAGCCCTTCCATTGGCCTGCTGTGGGACTCTGGACAAGTTACATAAGCCTCAGTTTTGTCATCTGTAAAATGGGAATAACACCTGTATCAGAGCATGATTGTGGGAATTCCACGAACAAAGTGTTCAAAGACACAGCACAATGCTTGTAACGTGGTACCAGTTGATAAATAGCTGATATTATTCATTTTATCCATGTCATTCCTATTCCTCGAGCTCCCTAGTCATTCATTTGTGGATATGATAATTGACTCGGGGTTGTCACAGCCTATGTTCTAGACCAATCCAAAAGCTTTTGGTTGGAATAGTGTAGCGTTTTGGTGCCAGTAGTGCCCTAGACAGTGTGGTGCGGGGGTGGGGGGCCTCCCAGGGGAAAGTCAGCCTGGGAAGACTCTGGAGCACAGACCCTAAACTGAAGTGGGTGGGTGAGAGTGCGGCTTGCATTCAGTGTACCTGCTGATCTGTTCACACCTCCGTGTCTTCCCTTTGTATCTTCAGCTGCCACACATGCCTCATATAAGTGAATGCCTGATGAAAAGGAGTCTAAAGCCCACTGACCTGCGGGACATGACTCTTGGGCAGCTACAAGTGATAGTCAATGATCTCCATTCCCAGATTGAAAGTAAGTGTGCGGTGTGCTTGGAAATGGGGGGTCAAATGTGAGATCTCGTGGGATAGTACTACCTCCTTGATTCACTTCCTTTGTTTGTTTCATTGGGTTCCTCCTGTGTGCTGCAAGAGAAGGAAGAGAATCACAAGGCTCTGTTCTTGGTTTTTTACTGTGTAGTGGTCAGAAACTTTAAGAACTTTTCAAGGTTCACAGAGGTGATGGGGCCTTTTTATTCATCTCGGATCCCTAGCGCTTAGCACAATGCCTGGTGTGGATTTGGCTCACAACCTCTGTTCCTGGAATACAGTTTAGGAGTTACATGTCATTAATTAGGCAATTATTTCCTCAACTTTACTTGTATATACATTCATTTTATGTCACTGAATCAAATTCAACTTACTGTGTGGGACTCAAGGTGGGGAAAATATGTACAACCAGTATGTGAAAATGACAGGACAACATTTTCTGGGCCTTCTTTCCTCCAGAACAAAGAAGGGCCTGTGACAGAAGTGTCCCAAGTGGGTGGTAAATGAGAGGCACTCACTTGAGGTGGCTGCTTATGTGGAGAAGGGCTGCTCAGCCCGATGAGATAGAGAGAACACAGAACATGCTCGCTTGGGTGGTGTGGCTAGTCCAAGTGAACCATGTGCCCTCCAGCCTCTGGAATGTGTGATGCTGTAAAATCCTGTGGATTTACAGATTACAAACCACCTACGAGACAGGCCAACCAAATGCGTTCAAAAAACGAACTCCAAAAAAACGTTTAAGAACCAACCAAGGAATTTGCACACTAGATTTGTTTGTCACGTATGATAAAGGTATTGTGGTTATGTTAACTTAAAAAAAAAGAGAGACCTGTGTTTACAGATACACACTGAAACATTTAGAGATGAAATAATATGATGTCTGAAATTTGCTTTCAACTAATTTGGTAAGAGAGGGGGAGATAGAGGAGTGACGATTGGCCATGAGTTGGTAATTTTGGAAGCTGGTTAAATGCATGGACATGGAGATTCATTAAATCAGTCTCTTTGTATCAATTTGAAAATTTCCATAGTAAAAAGTTAAAAACTTCATATGGGAAAAAAATTTCCATGCACTTTGTGGGCCCCTCTACTGAGTGCTAGTATAAAAAGCTATCCTACTGGAATTTTTTTTTAATTTAAAAAAAAAAAAAAGCTACCCTAAGAACATACTGAAAAAAATAGAATTGGACGTATTCAGAGTTAATATGTTCAGTGTTGTTTTAAAATCAAGAGAAGGGTTTAACATTCTAATTAGGAAACCACAGACTCACAGGATTTTTTCAAAATTCTACTACATTTTCATTGCAGTTGAGAGTAAATTGCTAGGATTGTTATTCTTTCAAGGATGTGAAAGGCCTCCTGATATTTTACCACTGAAACATCTTCCTTAGACCTCTAAATACTACAAGTGTCATCCAGCTCTTTTCAGTAGTAGATGAATTTAGACCTCTTTGTATGATTTTTTTTTCTCCCTTTTTTAAATTGGAAACTAGTCTGACCTAAAAGCAGATCAATGCATCATTTGAAGTCAGGATCTCTAAAAGCATTTCCAAGGAGGACCTGGCAGAATACCTCCTTCCCTTCTTTTGTTTCTGGGCCCAGACCTCTTGCTGCTAAATGAATGCTATCCCCCATGCGCCTGGACTTAAAAGCTTCGATCTAAGAAGGAAAAAAGTAAGACTGCCCCTTCTGCTTGTTCATATTTTTCAGGAGCAGAGGCCAGATTAACCCAGTGCACGGATTTCAGGAAGATTAGAAATGTATCTGTCCATATGTGTTTTATTCCCAGTATAAATCCTAAGGAATATTCTCCTTGGTCCTCATGCAGAGATTTCAAGAGTTATTTCTTCAAGTCTTAACACACCTGGCTTTCCAGTATCTGTAGCTATGACTTAGATATGACTTAGAACAGCCTGCACAGAGGCTGTTGCTTCTGTGGGCCCTAGGAAGCCATTGAGCATGCGTGGGGCACCTTCTCCAGCTGTGCGTCTGATGGAGCACTTTGGGTGCAGTGGGTCCCTCCAACTCTTGGGTGGCGGGAGTGTCCTCAGGATGGAAGGTGGAAATCTTAACATGCCCCAGACATTTGTGTTCATCCTGCTTTTTCCAGCAAGCTATTTTCCCAGCAGCTAACGATTTCTTTTCCCACTTCAATGTGAATGTAATTGGAAATACTTCATACTTCACTCCTTTTCTTCCAACACTTGTATAATTATGCAAGCTAGTCATATCTTCAGACTGATGACTTCTCCTGGGCTTATGAAAAGCTAATAGAAGAATTCTAAATTTTAGCAAAAGTAACTCGTATAATGGTCCATAGAGCTGCACATATCGACTTAGGCACAATTCTATCCATTTTTAAATGTTCTCGCTCCTTTGCTCCAGGCCTGAATGAGGAGTTGGTCCAGCTGCTGCTCATCCGAGATGAGCTGCACACAGAACAAGACGCCATGCTGGTGGACATCGAAGACTTGACCAGGTCAGTGGTGCCTCCCCTTCCCAGAGAAGGAAAGAAGCCCAGGGTGGCCTAACATTGAAGAATCAGGGCAAGAGCAAGCCCCAGAGAACTTCCCCTTATTTCCACGAGTAACTCACCTAATCTCTGCCGATGTCAGCTGCTTAGCTGGAGGGGAAGTGGCCAGAACTCCTTCCCAAATGCATTGCTTTCTCACCCTCCCTTTGGGATGGACTGTCAGTGCATTAGAACTTCCTATACCCCCACCAAAATCAGGTCAGCATTTCTGGCCCAGGAAGACTTTTTCCTGAAGGACTGTTGCCCTGGAGAGTTAGCCCAAAGCCATTCCCCACTGGCATGTGACCAGCCATGTGATGGGTGCCACAGCACGGCATTTGCTGTTATGTGACCCAGCCCTTGATCACATCTGCCGTGTCCAGAAGGCAAGAACACTGGCACCTTTCCATAGCACCAGGGCCACCAGATTGCTCTCACCATGGGGAAACCCCAGCACTTGAGTTTCTAGCTGGGCCTGGCTCCAAGCACCTCTCTATAAAGAGGTAAAGAATGTTTCCTCCCCTGGGGGATACTGAAACTAGGCAAATGCCAGTCAAGAAATTGCATTTCTTAGTAGTTTTATTTGTAGAAAATACAATGATTATGCCATAATCGCCATAAGTATATAAAGTACATGAAATACTGTGAGCATTTCCTATGAACTCATGTTTGCTATGGTACCTTTTCTGAGACACTACACATGAAGTCTTTAAACCAAGAGGTAATAATTACTATTAATCCCAGAAATGGTATTTAGAGAGTAGAAGGCTCCCCAGGGAGAGAAAGAACACTGCTTGTCTCAATTAACATAAGGAATTAACCACATGATCCAGAACCATCCAAGAGAAGCTTGAAAACATATGTGGTGAAAATGCACTTAGCACCCACCACAGGACCACTTCTCAATGTGTAGGGTGGAATAAAATATTTTTCTAAATTCGGTGTTATAAAAATAGTTTTAGAAAATAAAAAAACAAAAAATAAAAAAAGTAAAACAATAAAATTAGTTTTGGTAGCAAAATAAATGCTACAAAACTATGTTTAGGCTTTTTAAATTTTTTTCTAATGTTTATTTTATTTTTGAGACAGAGAGAGACAGAGCTTGAGCGGGGGAGGGGCAGAGAGAGAGGGAATCACAAAATCCAAAGCAGGCTCCAGGCTCGGAACCGACAGCATAGAACCCGACCCGGGGCTTGAACCCACGGACTGCGAGATCATGACCTGAGCTGAAGTCAGCCACCCAACCGACTGAGCCACCCAGGCGCCCCTCTTTTTTTTTTTTTTTTTTTTTTTTAAGACCTATGGGCAGTACTCTGTGTTGTATGCTTTGGATATTATATTGCCTCGCCCCCAACAAAAAAAACAAAAATAAAAAGCCCAAAGACCTCATACCCTCTCAGCGTACTGACTTGTCACAACAACACTCACATAGTATCATTGCCACCTACAGATTATTCAGGCACTGCCTCAACAACTGTAACACAAATCCCTTTTTGTTAGTCTGAGAAATGTGTAAATAGGTATTAAGATTATGGGAAATCATTCGTGAAATAGAAGATCAAAACCTCCATCTTCTAGGGGTGCCTGGGTGGCTCTGTCGGTTGGGCGTCCCCTTCAGCTCAGTCAGAATCCCATGGTTCATGAGTTTGAGCCCCACATTGGACTCTGTCCTGACAGCTCAGAGCCTAGAGCCTGCTTCATGTTCTTTGTGTGCCTCTCTTGCCCCTCCCTCACTCACGGTGTGTCTCTCTCTCTCTCAAAAATAAATAAACATTAAAAAAAATTTTTTTTAAACCTACATGTTCTAAAAAAATACATGTAAATTCTTCTGTAAATTCTGTGACTTGCCTGTGACAGCAGAGACTTTTCCTCTACTCCCCAAAGCATGCTGCTTTCCTCATTGCAGGGAAGACACTGAGAGGCTCCTCCTTTCTCTCTGTGTGTTAAGCTAGTACTTAGGTTTACAGTGAATTTTTTAAATACCTTTCAGATGGTGTGATCATGGGAAACAGGGCAGGCAGAACCACAGGGTGAAAAGGAGAGGAGTTACTAATTTAAAGATATTAGAGGAACCCTTTAAAGGGGAGCAGGTGGGGAGAAGTTCCCATGTCCGTCTCTGGCTGCACAATATAACTTTGCTTGTGAGGGGATCTGAGGATACTTAAACATACCTAAAGGTAGCAATGTCAGAATTTTGCAGCCTGATCCCAGAAGGCCAAGAGCATCAGCTGGGGAGTTCCAATCACCTGTTCCCTTTACCTGTCCTGTAGATAGTGGCATGTTTTTCCATTCCCAGTGTCAGTTCAGATCAGTGGTTCTCAAGTTCGGCTACACATTGGAATCACCTGGGGAGCTTTAAAAACTATTGATGCCTGAGTCCCACCTCCAAAGAAAATTCTGATTTAATGATTCTGTGGGGGTGGCCTGGGCATTAGGATTTTTCAAAGCTCTCCAGGTGATTCCAATGCACAGCTGAATTTGAGACACACTGGCTTAAATAACACCTCTTTAGAAAAGTACGTCCTGATGCCCCTCAACCCCCAAGACTGGGGTAGGACCCTCTTCTCTGTGTTCCTGGCAACATGGCATCCCTTCCATGTAGAGCCTAATCATATTGTGTTAAATTGTCTGCTATTTCTCTTTACCTACTGTAAACAATCCCCCCCTCCACCTAAAGCAAAGACAATGCCATTTTCATTTTTTGCTGTGTCCCCAGAACCTAGGAGAGGGCTTGCCAGGCACAGATCCTCAGTAATGATTGCTGATAAAAAGGAGTCCTTGTGGGATTTGAATCAATTTTAGTATATGTGCTGCCAAAGCCAGCACTTGTGAGGCTTGGATCAAACAAATGCTAATAAAGGCTTTCATTTAGGAGCACCTGGGTGGCTCGGTCGGTTAAGCATCCTCCTTCAGCTCAGGTCATGATCTCACGGTTTGTGGGCTCAAGCCCCGCATCAGACTCTTGTGCTGACAGTTCAGACCCTGGAACCTGATTCAGATTCCATGTCTCCTTCTCTCTCTGCCCCTCCCCAGTTCACACTCTGTCTGTCTCTCTCACTCAAGAATAAACAAACATTTTTTAAAGTAAAAACAACTTTTCATATAAATAGTTGATGAGAACCTTTTAATTTTTATGGACTAAAACCCTTTCCCTCCCTTGTTTAAAGTGTTATTGAAATTCATGCTTGTATGTATGTCTCAAGATAACTCCCGGCTTTCAATATTTTCTGAAGCTATTTCCTGTTCTTTTTTTTTTCTTTTAATATTTTTATTTATTTCTAGGAGAGAGAGAGACAGCATGAGCAGGGGAGGGTCAGAGAGAGAGGGAGACACAGACTCAGAAACAGGCTCCAGGCTCTGAGCTGGCAGTCAGCACAGAGCCCGACGTGGGGCTCGAACCCACGAACCGCGAGATCATGACCCAAGCAAAAGTCGGACGCTTAGCCGACTAAGCCACCCAGGCGCCCCAGCTATTTCCTGTTCTTTCCTTCTTTCTCAGGAAGACATACATGTGCATGCACACATACACACAGATACATATTTTAAAACTGTTGGAGGAACTATAATTTTTTTAAATTTATTTTAGAGAGAGTGCACAAGTGGGGAAAGGGGGCAGAGAGAGAGAGAGAGGGAGAGAGAGAGAGAGAGAGAGAGAGAGAGAGAGAGAGAATCCCAAGCAGCCTCCACATTCAGAACAGGGCCCAATGCAGGACTTGACCCCACGACCCTGGGATCATACCTGAGCTGAAATCAAGAATCAGACACTCAACTGACTGAGGCACCCAGGAGCCCCTAGATACTATAATTAGCCACAGTGGAATCTTAGCTCAGTGGGCATCAAGATATTTCTTGAGCTGAATTTAAGTGAGGCCCATCAGCTACTTGATGAAAATGATCAAGGCTGTTTTGTACACATAAACAGGGCCATGAGATGGTCTGCTACAGGAATAAGGGGCTGATATCTTTTCCCTAAGTTTCTTTATTGTTAAATGAATATCACCAATTATTTGCAGGCTGTTGAATGTGGCAAGGACACTCTGTTGTCACTTCCCTATTTCTGAAAGTATTTGTGGTTTGTCTCTCTATACCATAGATTGGAGACATTCTGCACAAAACCAGTGAGTTAAACTTGACGTCACTGACTACCCAAGTCTAGGCAGCACACAAAAACTGCCCTGAACCTTGATTACAGCTGGAAACCACAGCCTTAGAGACTTTCTCTTGCCAAATTTATAAATTCCTACGATTGTCCTTCAAAACATTTGTCTTTTGCAGACGTCAAACCCCACCACTCTCTGAGAAAACGTTTAATTAGTGCCCAATCAAGTGATGTAAGCAGCTTGGCTGTTTTTCCCCCTCTGTCTCCACTGGTCAGCTGCTGGCTTGGCTGAATTTAGGGCTTAGAGGCAGTAACAGGGCTTGATGAATCAGAAGATCCATCCCGCCCTAGCATTCCCTCCCTGCCACCATCATGCCCTTCGGATTTATGGGATGGCGGGGAGTATGCAAACATGGAAAATCTTGGCATCTGCAAAGACCTACGATTTGTTAGGAAGACATTAGCTTTGTACGAGTGGAACTGGATCATTGGCTTCAGATTTCTGTCAGGAGCCTTTTTAATGCTTATATTTGTGTCTGTGTGTGTGTGTTTAGATAAAGTAATCACGTGGTTATCTGCTATCACAACACCTTGTTTTGACTTTTTGCTTAGCATGATTTTCTCTCTGCTATCTCCTGCTTTGCTACTTGTTCCTTTTTTGTCTCTCTCCACTGGAATATATGTTCCACGAAAACAAAGACCTCATTGTCTGCTCACCAAATCCACAGCGCCAGGAACAGTGCCTGGCACAAAGAAACATATCAAACATTTGTTGGATAAATTTTCCCAGATAATTAACTCTTTTTTTTAAACACAGTGCTTTTTCTTCTCAAAAGTAGTGGCATCTACCATTCTCAGGGTATTCTAGTACATATTAAATAAGAGGAATCTTACATCAAATATAAAAATTAAAGAGGGCAAATCCATTATTTGAGTTAGGCACTGTTTCTTAATTCTCTTGATTTCATTATGAGCAACTCCAAACCTGTTTGCGGCAGTGTTTTAGCTATAGATCTGAAAGCAGTTTGGGTCTCTCTTCCTAGCTCTAAATAATTGTATGATTAATTTTACAGACATGCCGAAAGTCAGCAGAAGCACATGGCAGAGAAAATGCCTGCAAAGTGAAAGAAGCCATTCGACCAGAGGACAAGCTAGAATTTATTTTGCTTCTGTGGTTGTAAAAATGCTGTTACTAAAGGTGGCGCAGAAACAAACAAAATATCAGTGTTAGTCATTGATAACGTTTGAAGCCTAATGTCCAGTGATTGGCCTTTGCTTCTTAATTTATTTTAATTTTTTTTACTGTGCCACTAAATATCAGGCATTTTAATAAAATATTGTTACAAAAAAATGTACAGTACTGACACCATCACTCGTCATGGTTAATCAAAGAGGGTAGTTTTAACTTTATTTTTATTTGTTTAGGGATTTTCAGTTGGAGCAGTATTTTACCATTGACTACTTTCATTCTTCACTGTAGTTTTAAAGAAGAACTGTAAATGACGGTGCTATCCAAGTCAAAAAATACATGCCTGCCTCGTAGTGAAGTTGTAGCTCTCCGTGATATGTATATTTTAATCAGTTTTCAACATTTTGTGAATGTTGACTACCTGAAGTTCATTTTTAGATGTGCTATTAACATTCTGTTGGATTCAGAAGGTTCCTTGAAAGTTTTATGTATAAATATGTAAAATAAAAATGAAAACTTTGTTTCATATGATATGTCTTCTTGCTCACTAGCAAGCCCTGTGTAGTTCTGACCTCTTCACACCTCCTCAACCAAATTCCCCACCGTGAAGATTTGGTCCGTGAGAAAATAAAGTGCTGCAGGGGAAAGCACTGCAGAGGATTGCCAGGAAGATTGTGAAGGGCATGGGAGAGTGTCTGTGTGTGTCTGTGTGAGAGAGAGTATGTGAGTGTGTGTGTGTGTGTGTGTGTGTGTGTGCACGCACGCGCGTGTGCACGAGCACACGCACACTCCAAAGAAGACAACCTCCATAGCGTTAGAGCTAATACTTCGGTCAGTGCTCAGTTACCCGTCTGGAACATTAGCACTTTACTCTCTACAAGCTCCTGGTCTTGTTAGAGCCTAGTACCGCCAAAGTTTGCCATAGGAACAAAAGATGCTTGCATTTACTCTTTTCCCAAGCCCAGTTTGCCATTTTTCAGATATTAACCAGTTCTGTTTGGTCTCGTGAAGAAAAATGCCAAGTCTAAAGTAGATTACAGATTGTTCCCCAAGAAGTAGAGTCGGAAAATTGATTTCGTCAGTTTAGCTAATGGCCATGCAGGTATTAGAGAATCATAAACTATAAGCAGAGATGTGCAGTCAACAATCCAGAACCACCCACAGACCACCTGGTTTCATTATTAGGTTCAGAATGTAATCAAAAGATAGAAGTTTCCTTGGGTGCCTGGGTGGCTCAATTAGTTAAGTGTCCCAACTCTTGATTTTAGCTCGGGTCCTGATCTCATGGTTTGTAGGATTGAGCCCTGTGTGGAGGCTTATAGTGCACGGCCTCCTTGGGATTCTCGCTTGCTCTCTCAAAATAAATAAACATGAAAAAAATGTTTTTAAGTTTTACTTAGTTTCAGATGTAGAATTTAGTGATTCATCACTTACATGTATGAAGATAGAAGTTTAGACAGCTGTCTGCACTTCCCTTTCTTAAAAATACCCAGGTAGATATTTTAGGTAATGAAGAGTTGCCAATTTTCAGTCTTCTATTTAGCAAAATAGGTAATGAAAAATTGTAACACCGATCATTTTTTATGGGCCTCAATCAAGTTTTCATTTGGAATGGAGAAACAAGGCAGCCCATAAATATATTTTAGCCTTTGTGAGTTGGCTTTTGAGCAGGATACGTTGCTCACCACTGAGTGAAGGGTGGGGCCCAAGAGAGGCCCTCTCTAACTGAGCCTCAGAGTCCTACACCAGCTGCCCGTGATCTTCCGGAGTGACCTCAGCCTTGAGAACAGGCTCAGCTTCTGGACCTTTGCTGCTTCAGCTGGGTGAGAATATTGGTCAGTAAACCGATGGGTCTCACCATTAACTGCTTTGTGGAATCACCTGGGGACCTGTAGAAACCACTGGGGCCTGGGTCCCAGCCCCATAGATACTGATTTAATTGCTTGGGGTGTGGCCTGAATGTCCCGATTTTTTAGAGGTCCCTTGGTGACACTCATATTGAGAAGCACTGCCTTAGATGTTCTGTTTTAGTTTTTCTTTCTTTCTTTCTTTCTTTCTTTCTTTCTTTCTTTCTTTCTTTCTTTCTTTCTTTCTTTCTTTCTTTCTCTCTCTCTCTCTCTTTCTCTCTTTCTTTCTTTCTTTCTTTCTTGGAGAGAGAGAGACAGCATGAGCAGGGGAGGGTCAGAGAGAGAGGGAGACACAGACTCTGAAATAGGCTCCAGGCTCTGTGCTGACAGCTCAGAGCTGCTTCGGATTCTGTGTCTCCCTCTCTCTCGGCCCCTCCCCTACTCGCATGCTCTCTCCCGCTCTCAAAAATAAATTAATATCTAGGTTTTTGTCTAATTAAAACATATTCCTATTAATTTGAAACTTCTAGAGACAGCCAACCTAGGAAGAGTGCTTTAAAAAATGTCTGTGCCCAAGCAAATGTGATAGCATGCCCTAAATCTCCCGTGTCAGCCACCGCTGAAGGCTCAACGCTAAAGCTCAGCCCACCAAGAGAAACATCCTCGTTTTGTGTTTGTTTTTAATCCTTGCCAGAATTGCCAGTTGCATCAAACATTTAGAAATGATTTTTTTTGTCTTGAACAATGCCATCTCTGGCTGGAAATGTGGTCTGGAGAAACCAGTGGCCTCTAAACTCCTCAGTTGTTTGAAGTCCATAATCCTAACTAAAGAGCCCCTAACTCGAGAAGGAAGAGAGTGAGAGTCTGCACATGAGGGCCCCTGAAAACACCTCCAGGGTCAAAGCCAGCTAAAAATAGAGCAGTTCTTCCCACCACTCTGAGACCCTCACGGAAGATTATACTCATGTACTTCTCTGTCCCCATAGAGATGTCACCAAGTGACTCACCTCCAAGGGGATTCTTTCAAGAGTGGGTCTTTCCAGTTCTTTTACTTAGGTTTTTCGGCAAGGACTGGAATTATTCCCAAAAAGATTATTATCTGCTCTAGATCACCCTTCTGTTCATAAACTAGGACCCTCACTAGTTTAGCCAGGCTTCGTTAGAATGCTAGATTACCTGACCTAAGAAATAGGGCCACCTGTCTTCTTGACTTTAGGAGCGTGAACTACAAGCAAAAGTACACGGGCTCTGGGGCCAGAAGGACTGGGCACAAATGCTTCATAGTGATTTGACCCTGAGCAAGTTACTAAAGTTCTTTTATCCTGTTTTATCACCTGTAAATAAGATCTCTTGGGATTATTCTAAAGTTCAAATAAAATAATGAAAGCACCTGGCACTGGGTAGATACTCAATAAATAATTTTTTAAAGAATTAAATGATCAGGGTTTGGATGGAGGAAGCATTCTGTATTTTACGAGTTTCTGAGATTTAACACATCCTTGTGGGTTTTTTCTTGTTTACGAATCATTAATTTACAAAACAGATACTTAAGGAGAAAGTTAATAGCTCCAGTCTTTAAGGCTTCCTTCCTCCAAATATCAATGTTTAAACCTTGGAATATATTCTTACACAGCTTTCTCCATGCTTATACAAATAGATACACACATATAGGTTTTGTGTTTCAATGTGTTTATACAAAGATGGGGTCATGTAAAACTGCTTTACAACCTACTTTATCCATGGACATCCTTCCAGGTCAATATACACAAATCTAAGCCATTCTTTTTGTTAAAGTGAGCTCCATGCTCATTGTGGGCCCAATTCAGGGCTTGAACTAAGACCTGAGCTCTTGAGATCAAGAGTCAGATGGCTGACTGAGCCCCCTAGGTGCCCCCTAAGCCATTCTCTTTAACAACTGTATAGTAATCCTCAGTATGGTAGAATATACTTTAGCCACTCTCTTAAATGATAGACGTTAAGGATCTTTCCAGATTTCTGCCACTAAACACAGCAATGCAATAAACATGCATGCACTCGCATCTACTTGTGCTTTTATTCTGTGATTACCTCATTTTTCTTTGACTGTTACTTGGCATTGTGTTTAGACACTTCAGAGTACAGAAGGATAATGAAGGTAGGAAAGACCAAGTGAGGCCTTTGCAGAGAAGTTCAATTCCATACAGCAAATTGGACAATTTCTGACAAACACCAACTCTTTTTCGTTTTCATCTTTAAAAGGCATGGCTGTCACTTAATTGACATCTCTCTCTCTCTCTCTCTCTGTGTGTGTGTGTGTGTGTGTGTGTGTGACACAGCCTCCAAGGACTGTCATCTGCTTCCTACACACAGGCTTTCCTCCATTCCCTGTTTGAGGGTAGAGGCAAACCTCAGCCACTGTGGTAACTATAGCCCTCAGCACAGAACCAAGTAGAGAGGTGTCCCTTGAAGAGAAAGTCTCTGATCATTGGGACCCACCCTTTTGACCGTTCCATTAATTGGTGGCAGTCTACTCTTCCTGATGTCTCATGCCTCTCCTCTTAGCTGAGGGATGAGCCCCTTGGCCTGACTTTTACTCAGGTTAAATCTTACTATTCTCAAGCTTGATACTGTAAGACTGGTTGACTCTGGTCTTTCACCTCTCCAAATTTTTTATCTGCAGTCCAGTGACTTCCTTTCCACAGAATGGATCATCTCTCCTATCTCTGACAAACAGCCTTATGGCAGATATAGCCAGTCACCTGCCAAAATGTATGCCTCCCCATCATGTTCATAGTTACAAAGTTTTTCCTGACAAGCAGCTCAACAGACAGAACTACCTTTCCCACTCATCATCCCCGTGGGTCAAGATGTGACCCATGATGGATTATCACCAATGAGATGTTAGAGGGTGTGAAGCATCTTCATCCCAGCCAAGGCTTTTAAGAAAGCGTTTGGCTTCTCCATGTGTCCTATTTCTCCAAGTACCAGTTGCAATCACAAGGACCCAGAGGATGGCAGAGCCACAATTTGGAAGGAGTCTGGGTCCCTGAGTTCCACTGCATGAGCACAGCTGCCTGTTGCTTAGTGAGATTTGCCTCAGATGGTTACAGGAGTGAGAAATGAGCTATGATTACATCTGAGCCATTATACTGTAACCAATCTCCTAGATACCGTAGCTAATGGAAGACCTAAACACGAACAGCCACAGTGCTGGTACACAAAGAAAGAGGTGGGACACAAACCCAGGTCCCTGAAGACAAACCCTGTGTTCTTAACTGTCATGCCACCTGACTGCTAGAGACTCACCTCCTTCCTCTAGAAGATCTTCTCTAGGTCAGTGACTTGCCCCTTTTCAATTCATGGACCTTTTCCATTTGGGTGAAATCCTATCCTGCATTCTCTCTTTTTCTTTAGCCATTGGGGCAGAAACCAGAGAGGGTCAAAATGAGACTTGTCATGAATTATTAATTAATTCATGCCAGAGAAAAGAATACAGGTTTTATTATGATGCTGAAACAAATATTTATCAAGTGACTACAGGATATTTCTTTGGTATCCATCTGGAAGAGCCCTGGGTTTCTACAATCCTCAAGACCACACTTTCATTATTACCACCCCAGCTGAATTCTGAAGCTTAGAAAACCCAATTACCTTTTGCACTGACATTCATTTATTTTCTCTAAATAAGACGTGACACATCCA